AGAAAAAACCGGAGATCGTTGTTGTTAGCTTCTGGTGCTAGCGAGCTACGCTAACAGATATAAGGAGTTTTTTCAACAACAAGGTGGAAGAGAGTCCTCCCCTGTCAGACTGAGAGGCTCAGTGAGCTAAAGGACTCAGTGTTTAGATAGTTAACTTTAGTCTAAGTTATCTCAGTGGGTCTCAAACGTTTTGGTCACGATTAATGTAAACAATTATTTCCGAGGCACACGTTTATATGATCATTATAGTTATAAAAAAATAAGAGAATAAATGAAAAACAGGTATGAAATAGGCTACTATATGACAGTAAAAAAAAGAATAAAGTTTAAAAGGGTGATTTGTAAAATATCCATAAAGAAAAAGTAAATCTGTTTACAGTTCTGTTTCATATAGGTGTTGAGAGATGTATCCATAGATCTCTTCATTTTGCTCTCAAAGTGCACCAGATTGATGCTTTTAACTTCAATATTTAGAAATAAATCTTCCCGGGGGAGCATGCCCCCGGACCACACACCACACACCACCTATAAAAATAGCACTTTACCCCTGCATACACCTATATGCCGTGAGCTGATTATCGTGCCTTCATTGTAACAGTCGCGGGTAGGCTACATTGTTTATTTGCGTGGGGAATGTTGTAGTAGAACATTCCACTATAGCGACCGGTACATTAATGGGAAACCCTACAGTTAATGTCTGAGCACCCTCTATGAAACGTCAAGCTACCCCACAGCGCCGCCACTGAGCCTGACTATTTGTGTTTGGGGGGCCCGACTTCATTTTTTCTCCAAAAACCTTTTGTCTTCAGTGTGCATTCATTTTCCTGTGAATACTGTGTTTTAACACTATCTATCCGTCCTCAAATAGCATGATCACACGACACACACGCATTAAGCATCTTCTTGTTTAGTCATGCTAGAGACAGTGAGTGCTGCGGTTCAGTATTTGTCTGCACACGTCTCTGCACTTTGAAACAAGAGACGCAGGTCTATTACTCTGCCCTGAGGCGTCGTCACAGGTAAGTCAGCCTTAAAAAGCCCTCTTTTGTTTCCAATCCTGAATCCCCTTCATCCGCTCCTGTTACGTCCCAGAGTTCATCCATAAAGCATTTTTAGGAGTTTAAATGTTTGCTGTTGTACAGGAGTGCCCTCTGGTGTTGACATGTAGGCCTAATCCCTAGCCTACAGTACCCGCCGCCCCTGCCTAGCTCTCATTCACACTAAACAAGACACAGCGTAGACATATATTGTGAGTACAATGCAGCTGTTAAAGAGGACTTTCTACAATTACACGCTATCTTTTGCTACGGTTAAATAAAAGATACCATTTATGTCTTTCTGTCATTGTGCTTTGGTTGCTCGCCATGAACACTGGGCTCTGTTCAAATTGACGAGACTAGTGAAGTTAGTTTCAGATTAGATATTTGACAGACGTCCCCCCGAGTCCTCAGTTACTACTACACTGTAAAAAAAAAAGTAGGACACATCACATACAATTTTAGTGCTTTTTCTATTATATATACATTCTTAAAATGCTAAACTAAGCTAACCAGCTTAATGTTGAATGAGACACAAGAGGGTTGTGTCATCGTCTCCTCTAACTCTCAGTAAGATTGGAGAAACTATATTTATTTAAATGTCAAATGTTCCCTTTGACTAAAAGTATTTTGTCGTTGCAGAGTAGGATCTAGTTTTAAATACTTTTTTAAATTCAAGTTAAGTCCAGTCAGTGGCTCTCAAACTATTGTATATTTGGCTTTTGGTCCACTAAAGAATCACAAGAACTGTCTTGAGATGATAGATTCAAATTTTTGAACTTTTCACGAAACTAGGTTGACCTCTTTTTGACCCTCAAGTGGATATTTAAATGAAAATATCTGAGAGGTTCACAGAATAACCTCTCTTTGGAGGAACTGTTAACAACTAGAGAATGCAATTCCTGCAGAAATTGCTAGTGGGAATGTATTATGCTGAAAAGCTGACGCTAAACTGCTATGCTGAAATGTAATGTGTAAGAAGAAAGTGAAGAATTTAGATCGAAATGATACATGAACACTGGGGGCTTGAATGTGTGATGAGAGAAGAAAAGAAAGTAAAAAGGCTTGGAAAAGCAGCAGCATATTTGAACTGCAAACTTTTGAACTAACTTGATGGTAAGTAATCGGCAACAAAAGATCCATAAAGGTGTTTTTATATTTTGTTGTAGCATAGTAGTTGCCTAAGTTGTTACTGATGATTTCTTAAAACACAACAAGGGGCCTAAAAACATTGTGTGTTGGCACAGGCCAACAGAAGTTTTTTTTATTGGTACGTTATATGATTTATTTGGTATGTTATATGGAAGGCCATGCCAGACAATTTACAAACCGAGACCAAACTGTGTTACACCCTCAAGTCCCTCAGTATTTATGTATACATTGCTTTATGTAGGGTTTAAATGATGCAGCTTCATAACACTTAATGTTACTACTTTCAAAATGCTGTTTGCCCCAGGATTAGACTTATTTATGCAGGAGAGGCTCATTCTACAACCCATTGTGTAATGACAAATCACCGCAGATCTTAAGGCTCTGAACAGTAAAAAAAACAGGCCTTCCAGCCGTCTATTTAGTGTCTTACTGCAAGCACGCCTCAACCTGCCTCCTCATCACCTTTCAGTAGTTTCCACATATTATTCCTCACATGTGAATAGCTGCTCAGAAATGCTTATTTACACTTTATTCGGTGTCGACAGGTAGACCTGCTGTCAGCACACATGCAATATTAATCTGGTGATCGTGTTGCAAAAAACCACCACTTTTGCTTCTCACCCGTCGGTTTTATACAATTGTTTCATGTAAGAGCTGTTGCTTGTGTTTGCTGCAGATGAAACTAAAGATGTGATACAAAGCCCCAGTAGAGTCTCTATAGTCCTGATCACTAGAATGTTCATACTCAGGTAAAGAGGCAGCACAAAAATGGAGAGCACAGCCAGGAAACCTATCATTACATTCACCCCTGGGCAGGGAAAACCCCTCTGTCGCCACCCACTCTGGCTCCTGTATTGTGAGTCCACATGTTCCTCAAGGGGAAATGCACAAGGTGTACCTCTCGTTGTCCTCTCATGCTTCTGTCCTCTCTCTACAGACAAGCACTCAGGGGGGATGAGGACAAAGTCTCCATGGTGATACGCTGACATCTGCACGCTGTTCCAGGAATACGCTCTGTGAACAGTGCAGCTGCTCTCTGTTTTCTCTGGGTCAACACACTGTTCTGGCTCCAACCCCACCATCCCAGGGTTCACAGGCCTGGAGGGGGAAGACAGTGTTAGAACAGGGTCTTTACAGCAACTGTCGCCATTGTTGTTAATTCCCGATTTCTCTCTGTGTGTCTGTGCAGGTGCCAGGTTTCGTCTGATCAGGCCCAGGCTCTTGGTCAGGACGATCAGGAGGAAGAAGAGGAAGGCCATGCCCCAGCGGGCATTCACGCTGCTTGGCATGTGGTTGAACATGTTGGGCAAACATCTGACAAGGGAGTTGGTTGAGTGCAAACAGGCAACTGCCCTCACTTCCTCCTGCTTCCATCGCAAACTGACATTTAAGGCGACAGCGACCCACACTGACAGGCAGCAGAGGTAGCTGACAATATGAGACCAGCGCTTTTCTGTGTCTTCACTGTCTTTGTTGACCTCCTCCTCTTCCACATTTACCTCAATAACAAAGCAAAGCTTTTCGATAGAGTCCACTTTAGGACAGGCCTTCTGGATAGTGACAACAGAGTGAGGCCACGGCAGTCTGGTCACACTCTCCACTGCGATCAGAGGTGTGATCAGGAGCAGCACTGCACCGTATGTTTCGCTGAGGAAGATCAGGAAGCGCAGGGCAATGACGTCGCCAAGTAGGGTCAGCTCAGAGACCCAGGACTCAAAGATCCAAAGGAAACTCAGAAAAACTGTAGGAGAAAAGAATAAAGGGGTCAATCAGTCAGGTCACTGTAGAGCAGTATGTGGAAAGATGGTGGAGCAGATAGCTAATTTAAAAGAAGAAAACAATATTATCAGAAAGATCCTCTGAAGACGTGTTTTACAACATCTGCCTGGATTATTCATTTGTGTCTTAATTAGTGTAACAATAAAACTATTTTGTTTATTATTAACCAGGTCAAATGAAATGAAATCCTAAAAGTTGATGGCTGAGCAAGTTTGTTTCAACAAGTTGTTTCATCTGTATTGTTTTGAATGAGAAAACAACACTTTGAGATATTTCAGGCGTTAAAAAACATCCTTTTGATACAGCTATGGGAGAGCAGTATACTGGGAAACACTGGACTGGCGCTCACCTGTGACCAGGAAGTCGGTGAAGAGCAGGAGGCAGCAGCAGCAGAAGCTGGCGGGACTGTAGGAGGAAGTCAGCGATGGCAGGAAGAGCAGACTGCAGGCCAGTTTACACACACATAACACCGTCGCTCCTTCCAACACACCGTCCATGGCTGCAAACACAACACATACATGGGTTAAATGTAACGAAACACTGGTTTTCTTTCTGCCTCAGGGTGGAGAAGCTCAGGAATTCCCAGCACTCTGCTGTCAGTAAACCCCCCATCAATGTTAATATGTATTTGTATGTAATGTTTTTACATGATCCTTCCACTGTCAGGGATTCTTTCTGACGTGGTTGCAGATCAATATTTTCTTGTTTACATTAGTAGTGAACTACGGACCAGATACACCAGTTACAGACGTTGAAAAATGAGGAAACTCAGAATGAAGCTCAACTGATGTCAACATACTTAAAATGATTGTAAAAAGTGATGTTAAACACTAGCAATGAATAAACACATGCCGTGAGACTACTCAGTAATGTGAACACATGCAAATGTACTGACAGGCTTTGTTGTTGTGACTTGACTGTAAACATAACCACCTCCAGACCATGATACTGTTCAATCAGACTTGTTAAACCTGTAGAACATAATCTCTTATCACATGTTTACAGAATGAACAGTCAAACTACAGGTAACCCAAAACTATGAGTCTGCTTTAAAAGTGCGGAAAAGTTCATTAGTTCTTACCTGTACTCACAGGAGCCTTCAGAGCAACATGTCAGTATGAGCTTCAAATGTGTCATCCTTCTCTTCACCTCTCTTTTTGCTCCGCCCTCATGGGGATAATGACCTCCCCCCTTCACCTCCTGTGCTCCCTGCTGCACCTGGCCTGGGTAGAGGTGACAGTGTCTCAGAGAGGGTGTGGCACAGTTTGTGTAAGTGAGAAAACCTGTCTAACAACTGATTAAGTAACTAACTAATTGACAGTGAGAGATCAAAAGTGTGTGACACAAGTTAAAGTATTGGACAAAAGATATTTCATGCAAACAATCCTGTTACACCTTGTTCAAACTACAGTATTTAGTTTCAAAGGTTACAGCATGCAGGTTGTTTCATTTAGCAGTTTTGGACTGTAGATCACATAACACATCACAAAATGATTCATTCATGCTTTAAATATGTTACATTTAAACCTCAGACCCTATTAATATGCTGTTCCACCTTATTTATGAATCATGGACGACAGTGGTTGCTTTAGTTTCCATTATGGACGGGTAGGGTGGTCATGTTTAACAAACAGACTAGAGTTGCATCATACATTATGTATCTACAAAAAAAAAACTGCCTCATTTTCTGTTCTCAGATTAAAAGTCACAAGACATTTGGATTTAGTTGTACTTCATGTTCGAACCAATCTTGGAAATAAAACTGGTATAAAGCGCTATTCTCGTCACGGATGGAATAAGATGCAAAAAACGTGAAAAGATGAAGTTGTTATTCCCTATTTGATGACTTGAAAACATTACACCCAAAAAGTTCACCCTTAACCTTGTAAACAGCGATCACAAACACCATAAGGTCAATTAAACAGCCGTTCTGGATCTTTTGATCATATCGCATGATTCGTTAGGGTATGGGCGTTGGCCAAATTGTCATGAAATTGTAATTTTCAGAGACTCATTCACTTTGGCTTTAAAGCTGAGTTTTCATCCTTGATAAGTGTGATGGATTAAAAGCCCCAAAACAGCCCCTCAATGGACCTTGTGCTGTTTCCGAGGTCGAGAAAGGAGACGAGGATTGTGTGACACAATCAAAATACCTTGAAAAGCTTTGAAATGGACCTGCTCATGAGACTGCTTTTAAAAATCAGGAGGCCATTAGACCCGTCTGTTTGTGATCCACTGATACGAAGAAGAGGTTTGGAAACCACATTTAGTTATCAGGTTTTATGTTTAGTTATTTGACTGAGTCACAGTATATGTAAACGGGATTTTTTGCAAAGCAGAGTCAGATGAAGCTCAAATAAAGTTTAAGTTCATAAAATGCTCTATTAAAATGTTTACATTTCTAATAGTGAAAAGTGTATGTATATAAAGCATATTAATTGTGTTGTGGAGGTGATGTGACAGTTTTGTAAATAAACAGCCCCTTATTATAAGCATACTAAAGTGAATGTTAACTGCTTGTATTTAGCTTTGGTGGATGTAATAATAACATTAGATAGGTCTATCTCTCTAATTATCCTCTTTTGTATCCCCAGTTAAAGCTGTGCGATGGAAACCAGTGGAGATTTGCATTTCATTATGAACATGAGAAGAAACATTTGAATGTGTGTGTGTTACTTTGTTTGTGTGTGTGCAAACACCATGTAGGTCAAGATGATGCAGGTAAGAAAGCAGACTTGTGTGCAGGGTGAGTGGACTAAAGGTGGAATTGAATGTTCCTCAATACTTATAAATGACGGAAACAGTTTCAGTTGTTTATGCTGACATATTTATGACAATTAAAAATGGTCATGTGACTGCTCAGTTGGCAGTTTATAAGCATAGTATATATTTAAAACAGGAATATCATGAACAACTCACTTTTGCTGTTCTTGTGCACCATGTGTGCAGCCGATCTAGAGTGCCTATCAAGCCACACTGTACAATTACAAATTTTGTCAGTTTTTTGGTGAAACCTTAGTTAGAAAAGATTTAGAAAGCCATTTGAATTGCCCCCCTTCCTGTGTTATATGCAGGCTCATTAACATGTACCGCCCCCAGACTCCTCTTACAGCCTGAGAACCAGAGCCAAGTTGTGCCATATGTTTCTCAAAAGCAAATAAGAGCACAATAGGCTTTTCCCAACATAAATACAGGTGTATTAAGATAAACAGTATGATAAAATAACATGTTTTTGTAACTTTACAGCATGTAAATATGTTCTCGTATGAACCAAAATATGGGTATAAACCCGAAAATGAGCAAAATATCTCCCCTTTAATGTTTTGGTTTTTATTCTTTATTGATACAAATGAGTTGGATAACATATTACATCTACATCACCACCAGCCAAGTATTTTGAATACGAGGTAATCTGAAAGCCTGCCTGGCTCATCATGTTTATCTCCTCACACTTTCATCCATGAGGCAACATGATCGCTGTTCCTCCAGCTTGTGGCAGCAGTGCCATCTCCTGCTGAGCTAAGCACAGAGCATATTAGCAGCCTGTCATGCTGCTGCTGAGCGGATTACACTTCATATTTAGCCTTCTCTACATTGCAGTCCTGACCTGGCACACACATACACACTGAAAAATGAAAACAGAAGGCTGATTGATAGTAATACAGGCAAATCAATAAGTCAGTCAAAATGCAGCTTTCAAAGCACCAGTCATTCCCTTTCAGTTTTGACCTAGAATGCCCCCCACTTTTTTTTAATCACACTGCTCATTTGATCAACTGCGTCTGAGCAAAGCTGTCATCAAATCAGCATAATGTCAAGGTCAATATAAACATTAGAGAGAAGATGGGCCTTTATTTACCCCATTCAGGAGTTGAATTATCATCTGCTTTACACTGCTGGAGTAAGATCACATATTTTCTGCTCTGACTTTCATACAGATTTTGAAATACATGCAACATTATTCTCATTAGAATATTCACTAAACTGGAGTTTATTCGTTTGTACAGCAGCCTTATCTGTGTTTATTTGAGAATATTGTTGGTGATGATGCACAAGAGACAGCCAGCTTCAATAACTGTACCTGCACTGTGAAAACCTGAACTCTTGCCAAGTCAGTTTGTATCATTTCTAGACAGAATGTCTTTACACTTGATATAATACATAATAACTTAAGAACAATGCAGTGAGATATAGTGTCTATGTATCTTTTTAAGTCAAACACTCGAAAATAATTGAAAATAATTGATTTAGATTTGTATCTCAGATGAAACAAGTTATTTAAGCTGCTATGGTATTTGTAAAAGATGGATCATCTTGTTTCAAGAAATAAATCGTACTTGATTTAAGAAAACAAATTGTATTGGACAATCACCAACAGAAATCTTTGGAGCATTTCTGGCTTATTTTGTAATGTCCTGATTTTCCCAGCTAATTACAATATATATTTATCTAAATATCCCAAACTAATCTCAATAAATCTTACCAAGCTATTTCTCACTTGTTCTATAGGCAGATCTTTTTACTTATTCCAAGCGAAAACACCTTGTGTTTATTCATCTTTTACTTGATTTTGGAGCAGCATTTTTTACAATGTGTGCCTTTTTGTGCAATCTGTGACGCATGTGAGTTGCATTTTATGTATAAAATGCTATATAAATGAAATGTAGACATGTTAATATTAGGCAGACTGTAGTCTACAGGAAAAAATATGATCAATATAAGCTACCCACGCATACCCACTGCACGAGTTTATCTAATGCGACCACAACATCTGCAAGAAACTAACCCGCGTTAAAATAGAAACACGAAAATGGGTTGAAAAAATCAGTTTCAGCTCAGTGTTGTGAGACGCCTGCAGCCCCCAGAAGTGAACAGCAGGCGACCCGGAAGGTTTGAAGTCCGACTGAGAGCAGGCAGAAAGAAGAGTCTAATCCTTTATAAAACATTTCTTCCCTCGCTGGTTCAGGTATGTTGGCCGCTCGATGCAAATTCTCTGCCTCTTTTTATTTTTGCTCTTATCTCTCGCACACAGCTCTCCATGTGTGGCTTTGTCACCGTTTCTGCTCAAGTCGTGCAAAAGTTGTATTACAAAAACAGCATTTGCACCGATAAAGACTGATTTCTTCTCTTCTGTCGTGCAAATAACAGCTTTCAGTACGCGCCAGAATCTACATCGACATTTGGGTTTGTGGCTCAGCAGCTGCAGAGCATTCAGCGAAGGCATGATGATTGTTGTAGGAAGTGTCAGGATCTTTTTTCTCCTCCTCAAGCCGGGCTATTCAAACCTGCAAATCAAAGTAAACAATCATTCGTACGCTTAATGCAAATACGCCACACGCCGACGCATCACAACAGCGCGTAATTAGGCCTAGATCTGGAGGAATTATCTCCTTATTACATTCGGATCTGCAGAATATGGCGTCCAGTGCTTATAAAAATAAGACAGGGCTGCCATTTTTGTTTTCCTTTTGTCTGATTTTTTTTTAATAAACTGTCTGAGAATGTGGGAGAGGCGAAGGGAGCGAGGCGCTGCGGAGGATCGTTTCTCTGGAGGAGATGCTCTCGTTACAAGCTGCTCGGGTTAATAGATGCAAACATTAGATTCTGTTTCTTTGGCTTAATTCAGCACAGCATGTACAGAAACGGAGCCAAAGTTAACCCTAACTTTAGTTCCTGGGATTGCATTTCTCTCTAGAGGTGCTCTAACTGTTTATTACACTGATGCTATTTGCAAAGGAGTTGCTACATGCACGTGTTTGTGGTAACACTTGATATATGACCATCTGCAGAATTATTTTATATTTAGATTCCTCTACTAGTTTAATTATACAGACACACAGCTATCGCAGATTTAACAGCATGTAGTCTAAGTATGTCTAAGCATCACCTTTTTAATATCCTTTATATGTGGTTTTATTGAAACTTTACAAATCTTTATAGAGTATTGAAAGCCACAAGATATTTGTGTTTGCTTCTGACCTTAAATTAGAATGCAGTGAAACATGTTGGTAATTTATTGATAAAGAATTTTATTATTTATAAAAGGCCATCAAGTTTAACATTTTAATAAGAAATTAAAACAGCCTTTTTGAGTCAATCGATAGAAAATCAATTAAAACGGTTGATAATGCTCCAGGTGCAATACTGATTTAATATCAAAATGTAATGTGATAATTTGATATATATTATAGTTAACTGAAAATAGTTTTAGACCAATACATGCGTCCTTGGAAATTATATTGACAATTTTTCAACATTTTCTGCTTTAAAGAAAAATTGTATTTCAACACAAGTAACTAATATTAATCATGAAAGGGATGACAAATAACCCTCTGTGCAGCCTTACAACGCTGTAATGCACCTGCATATGAAACACTACATTTTCTACCTGCTGGAAATGCTTTGAACACTGTTACACAAGGAAATGAATAGTCCTAATAAAGCTTTTTATAAACTCAGCAAAAATAAGCAAACACAACAACACTATCCTGGCCCCATAAAGTTAACACAAAAGCAATGCAGTCTAGACCTGACTCCACAGGTTATAGGGAGGACTCTGTTATATCCTACATACACTATGAATATACAGCAACACACAGGAACTGTTGATCATAGAAAGAACTTCACTGCCATTCATTTCTTTCTGTGTGTCATTCAAAGAAGTGGCACAGAGATGCCGTCGAACTACTGAGCCTCCTCCCTCGAGGCAGAAAGTCTCCAGGAAGTGAAACTGATCCCCACTGGCATCATTAGAGAAATATTTTGTAGGGTTTTCTGTACGCTCGTACCCCTGAACGTATCGTTTTTGTTTCTCTTGGCTCACGGATATGGACTGTGTTATGCCTCTGCTAAGCCAAACAGACTTAGGAATGGTGAAGTGTGCCAAAGCACGCAATGCAAAATGTTTTAAAAAAGAAACTTCATACGAGGTTAAGAAGAGAAGCTATGGAAAGAAAAACCTTTTAAGATCAAAACTTTCGCAAGTGTCGTAAAAACGGTTTCTGGTCAGTGTGGAGAAGCATTATGCCCAACTTCAGACCATAATAATCAAATATTGTCATTTAAAGAGAATATACATGCTCCTATGTTGAATTATAAAAAGAAGAAAAAAATACTGTCACTTACAATTCAATATGTGTGTGCAGCATCCTCATTTAGTCTTTCCATGTTCATTATATTCAGTTTGATTACTGACTTCTCAGCTTTTGATTATGTTATTCAGGTCTTGCTCCACTATGAGGGCAGACTGTGCTGTTCTGTTTCCCATTAACCTGTCGGGGCCCCATGTTTCGAGCAGGAGACAGACAGTGACAGATTAGGATCTGAGTCACATCACTTTTAACATTTCTGTTTTCTCTGATAACAGTTCTCTAACTAGCCGTTGTAATCACGTGAGAGCCTATCTCTCAGGCAGCATGCCTATTCTGAAGTCCTGTGGTTGGAAATCTTAAGAAAAAGCTGCATCACTCACTTAAACGTCCTCCTTCGACAACAGGAACATATTCTCTGCTATCTGTGATGAAGCTTCGTGTAAAGACACACGTCTCCTCTTACACTTTGTGGAAAGGGGTATAACTTTTACAGAATGTCTTTGAAAATACTCTATCACAAGACTGGGAGAAGTTATCTTAAACCATCACGTCAAACAGTCAGCTGCTGCTTGTTTTTCACCACCTTTTTTTTTCACCACCTTTTTGTACACGTACAATAGTTCTTCACATAAATGTAGTTTTGAAGGCAAATATCACTGCGGTGGTTCCCCAGCAGGATAAACTACAGGAACTATAATCGGAATTATCCTGAGAAGTTGCTAGATGATTCAAGGTTTGCTCTGATCTTCTCTTTTTGAGCCTAAATTACAACTCTAAAAATTGAAATTAAACCAAAAGAATGATAAATCACTCACCTATTCACCGGATGAGGATTCACAAGTAAATGTTGCTTTGTTTAATTAACGTTAAGAAGCATTGTCTAACCAGTCTACCATTTTGTACTTGATGCATACTGCTTCACTGATGAACAGAGAAGCAGCACTCACCTTATTTATGATCCTTGTGTATTTATTTCAGGATGGCTGAACCTCGCTTTAACAATCCCTATTTTTGGCATCCACCTCCTAATATGCCCGGCCAGGTGAGCAACTCTGGTATTCTCTCTTATGCTCTTATGTTAGCCTGTGGAAGTTACTAAACAGCTTCTTGTTTTGGTGTTGTTTTTAAATGTTTTTAAAATAATGCATAATTTTAAAGAAATTGTTTGACATTTGGGGAGTAGGCTTATATATTTATGGTGAAAAGATTGATACCACTTTGTAGTACGGTAAATATGAAGCTGCAGCCAGAAGGTAAAGCATTTTAAACCATTTTAAGCTGACAAATTGTCATGGTTTGTTTATTCTATACAAGAACTGACGTTTTAAAATTAAAATTGTGATTGATTAATAAATTGTCCTTCTTAAACTTCTGTTTTTGATTAAACCAAGGAGAAATGTCATGTTAACTAGTGAGCTTTAAAAGTTAGTTTTCCTTTGAATATCCAGGCTAGCCGTTTCCCTCTGCTTCCAGTCTTTGCGCTAAGCTAAGTGGCTGCTTATTCTAGCTCTACTTGTCATTTAAATGTCAGCAAAACATAATGACATTACTTGGTCCTGAGATTAATCTGAGGGTTCACCTGATGTATAAAGGGATATTTTAAAATAGCTGTGCTTTTTCTTCTTAATCTTCTCTTGTTTTAGCTTTAATTCTTGTGATATACTTGTTAGTATTATAAATTCTTTAAATTGGAGAAATCATAAAAATAAATAGTAAATTCCCTAGCCTGTGATAAGGAGTCAAGACAAAAATGTTGGGAAAACCAGGTTAAACGTTAAATATCATATACTATTTGCGACATTTACAGTATAATAGTTTTGGGTGCAATGTTTTGTATCAGCCTCTAGAGGGAACCATCTCCTCACTAAGTGTCACTGAATGAACTGATCAGATTTTCTCTTGTCTCAAACATTGTTTCCTGGCTGTCAGCTGGATAACCTAGTCTTGATCAATAAAATCAAGGAGCAGCTGATGGCAGAGAAGATCAGACCTCAGCATCTGCCTGCTGCCTCAGCCCCTTCCCAGCAGCCATTGCTGTCTCCCTTCATCCAGGCGGATGGCAGCCAGCACGGGATGTCCAAAGCTCAGCAGATGCAGGTTCTCCACAGCCATAGCCCGTCCCAGCCTGATATTGCCCTGCACGCCCGCCCCGCCTCCAGCTCAGTGACAGGTACTCCTCACCTGCATCTCCAGTACTCACTAATACCAGTGTTGGAAGAAGTATTCAGAAAGTACAACACACTGTAGAAATACTCCACTAAATGTTCTGCATTCAAAACCTTACTGAAGCAAAAGTATGTCAATATTATAAAACACAAAGGTTAAGACTATTAGTTTTGCTGTATGATGAGCTAAATGAAAGTGTTGTTCATTATCTTGAATTGTTTTCCTTTAGGCACTAAAGTTGATCACGATGACGAAAGTTATACGGTTTTTTGTTAATATGAATTCTCCATCACATTTTTACCAGGTCGTATTCTGGGAGATGTAAACTTGAATCTGGACGATAAGGCAGCTATAAAAGCCAGAGGATTATGGGAAGACTGGCATCTGCGCCAACTCATCGATCCCTCCAGGACAAACCATGTCTCAGGTAACTTGAACATGAACTTGTCTTATTTATAGAGCACCTTTTGAGTCGCCATACAAGGTGCCTTAAATTACAATGAAAAATGTTGTACAGTTGGATCTCCAGTTGCTGCACAAACAAAGAATGTTGTCCTGAAACAGTATTTGTTGTTTGATTGTATTCATTTGTCGTTGGTTATTCAAATAATGTGAAAGTGAAATTTAGACTTCTCTGTGCTGTATGTATGTGTAGGAGATGGACTATGAATAATGTAAACATTTAACGAAAAAATTAGTGTTGGGTTGCAAACAGTAGTGCAAAGAGGATTCGTATTACATTAGCCTGCTTACCAATTGTCAGCATCCTAGCATCCTAGCATCCTGTTAGCACCCTAACATATTTCATATGATTACAGTGTGTTCAGACTGTTGCCCTTGGTGTATGAATTGGAAATTAGATGATAACTTATTTCAGGCATGTCCTTGTCATTACTTTTGAACCAATCAGGTGTGGCGCTGGCCTCCAGAACAGGCAACCTCAACACCTCAGAGATAATCACCCCCACCACCCCCACCTTGAGCAGCCACAGCCGGCTGGGCGGAGCCCCAATGCCTCACCTCATCACAGGCTTAGCCTGCAGCCATGGAATTGAGTCTGGAAAGAACAACGGCGGCCTCGTAGGACTCCTTGGCCCTCCTCCGAAGGAGGAGGAACGAGGGCGGAAGAGGATTAAAGCAGAGAATGGGTCGTCTCTTTTGGTAGTGCCCTACCCAATCCTAGCCTCAGGCAACGACCAGTCATGTGTCAGTATTACTACCAAACCAGGAAAAACCTACAGGTAAGAATGAAACGTTACATACATAACAAAGGTGCAGTGTCTCACCATGATATCATGGCTCAAACTTGTTTGCTTTAGTATTCCAGGAGATATGGCAGGTTATAAATCTCTCTCTGGACTGGTAAATAGGAGGAAATATATTGATTTGTGAACCTAGCGGTTTAATCTACAATAAAGAATAAAATAGAATAGGAATTAAATGAATGTCTAAAACATGTTGAAGTTGGCTCACTAAAATATAAAATCTGCTCAAAAATTATGTAATGTATAGAACAAGACGTGAACACTAGTACACTAGAGAAAATACAAATCTACATTTCATCAACAGAACAATTACTGTATATATGTCTATGTGTTCTGTGTATGCAGTTGTGTCTCTGTGTGTGTCCTTAAAGTGTGTCCTCTTTCTGTGTCACTGTGTTTTAATACAGGTGTAAAATGTGTCCGTTGACCTTCTTCTCCAAGTCAGACATGCAGATCCACTCCAAAACACACACAGAGGCCAAGGCTCACAAGTGTCCTCACTGCACAAAGTCATTTGCAAACGCATCGTACCTGGCCCAGCACCTGCGCATACACCTGGGCATCAAACCTTACCGCTGCTCCTACTGCGAGAAATGTTTCCGCCAGCTCTCCCATCTGCAGCAGCACACCAGGTCTGATCTCAACACAGCATGGCCCTGACAGCCGTGTCTTTGATGTTATTGTCTATATCTAAGTGACTAATACCTTAACTTATATTACTTGTTGGAGCAGCCCACTACATTGTGCTGTTTCCTAATGAGCAAATAAATCCGAAACTGTGGTGGAATATGGTTGTAGTCAAAAGGATTTATGTATCGTTCTTGAGGTATGTTTCTTAAATCACAGATTACAAATATTTTTATTTGTTCAACTTTCCTGCAGTCTCCAGCAGGTATTAATGATATGCACATATAGTACTTAGATCCACATTTTAAATGTCAGTTCAACCAAATTACACAACGAAAAAAACCTTTCTTCCAATTCACACTTCCCACTTATGATTTCTGCTTAAACCTCATCTATACTTTAGGTTTCATGTATTATTTCACAGGCTTCAATATAAATAGTCTCCAATAAACTTGGTGTTATCTTTGAATTATCCAAAAATTATTCTTAGTAAAACTTTAAATATTGTACTTTTTTTAAAGCAGTATTGAACCAACTGACCTCATTTTCTTTGACTGCATATTTCAGATCTGAGGAGAAGAAGTGTTTTGGTTACAGTCTAAAATATCCACTATAACCCCATTTGAGACAATGTTCTCTTTAGTGCCTGAACAATACATTTTTGAGCAGAAAGAGGGCGGTAGATTTTTCCCCTCATCATTTACATTGGAACAGCATTAGGAATTGTTATTTTAATGGTCAGCATAAAGAGGAGGAATGACTGTAGCTGTTTCCATACACTGTTGGCAGCATGATCACCTGACTAGTGTTTAGGAGAGGTTAAGAAAGATTTCAAGTAAAGAATATTTCAACTCTCAATACCCTCAGAATAAAAAACCGACCCTTTAAAATAACTTGTTGCAGCAGTAGGAAATTGTGTTTCAGTTTGGTATGCAACCTTGTCACTTAAGTAGGAGCAAATGATACTACATTACATTGCATTGCAGTTCAATCCAAAGCAATTTACAGGTTTAGAGGAGATTTAGACACCGCCACACAGGCTTGAGTCCCGTGGCAACGAATGTAAAGAGGACTACTACCTCTCACGGCAGGGGGTTATTATTATTATTTCACATTTTATTGTAATTGCCCTTAACTAATGTCACCTCAAATGACTGTTGGAGCAGTACAATTACAATCACCATAAGCTAAACCTACATTTTTAAGGTAATTTTTCAAAGAAATGTCTCAGACCCTTATGGGGGTCCACATCTTTGTCACCTTAATCCCTACCAATTACTATTTGTTGCAGCAATAATCTGTGTAACACATCCCACCGCAACACAAGGGGTTGTTGATGCAAAATTGTATGCAAATTGTTTCAGTTGGAAAGGGCAACATTTGCGGCGGTGCTTGAGCGAGGGCCTTGAAACAGTCATAAGTAACATTCGCCCCAGCTACTGTAATGCAGCTTTGAGCATAAAGGAGCCATAATTACAAGCCGATGCATTGTAAACCTTTTGTTTGCACCTGCAGGCATGCTTTAGTTGCTCAGCCCGGCCTTGAGTAAACAAGGACTTCACCTTCAAATGTATCTTGAAACAAACCAGAAAAACAGGAAGTGAAAATCTGATAGAGATTTAGGTTTCCATTTT